AGACATGTCAGTCTGTCGCTCTACCTATACATATACTCATATAAATTAAATTGAAGTGTCTGTCTGTAATATCGAAATAACTGTATTTTATTGAGCTTAGAGGGCTATTTGCATCTTGTATTATTATTTATTGTGTGATACCATAAGACAGGAATAGTCACTTTTATAAATGTTGTCTATCTACATGTTGATAACGTTACCTCCATCCTAGGACAGGACATCCTAGGACAAGTACAAACAAAATCCGCCGTGGTAGCTCAGATGGTTAGCGCTCGCTGTAAGTTTCACAGTACGCGCGAAACCCGGGTTCGATCCCCACCGGCACCAATGAAATTGTCAATTGCAATTTTAAGTGCTGATTTTCCACGTGCTCGGCGGTGAAGGAAAACATCGTGAGGAAACCTGCTTGTCTGACAAATAAGAAAAAAATATATTTTGAAGACATGTAAAGTTCGTCAACACGCATTGGGGCAGCGCGGTGGAACTTTCCTTGCCCTAAAACCCTCTCAGAAATGAGAGTGCCTAGCAGTGGGACGTGTATATAGGCTCTAACTTTAACTTTTAACAAAATCCCAGAAAATATACAAAATTGGCCTGCTTAAAGTTCAAAAACTTTATTAAACAAAGTATGTATAAAAAGGATTATTATAATATTAAGGAATTTATGGCTGATAATAACCCCTGGGAATGAGGTGATCGTTACTAAGCTATTTCTAATTTGTTTTGTGTGATTATTTGTGTAACATATATATGATTGTAAGCATTTAATCTAAGCTGTTATTTAAAAAAAAAGTCCCCCTGAGTTTCTTGCTGATACATCCCAGGACAGAGGTTTTTTTCGAACCAGTGGTAATTAAACAATTGAGTGACTTTCAATAAGTATTATTTATAATTTATATTGAATAAAAAAGTTTCTGTTCTGTATCATAATAGACTTGCTAATTAAATAAAAGGGTTGAAATAGAACTACAATATATAAACGGTCGTTCCTTCTTCTTCTTCTTTATTGGTCTGTAAAAGTCCCCAGTTTTATCACAATTGGTTTTGCCATTTCGAAGATTGAAGAAGAATAACGTCTCCGCGGCACTGGCTTAGCAATGAGTTGCGGTCGCGAGTTGAGGCTGCGGGTTCAAATCCTGCACGGAACAAATATTTATATATCCCGCTATTTCAGATAGCCAGATAGATATTTAAACGAAAATGTTGGAGATAATTTATTGAAAAAATAAATGGTCTGCGATTATCTTAAATCTAAAAAACGGCACATTAATTGATCCTATCCAGGTGGACCGTGTAGTGGCGGTGCGGTGTAAGAATATCCACTACCCCATATCGTCCCCTGGGAGTCGTAAGAGGTGACAGGAAGAAGCTGAAATAGGAGATGGATAGCAGCATCTTCCTGATAAAATTCAAATTACAAAAACTTGTGGTTGCAATTCCCCCGACCCGTGGCATCTATGGCAATTTCCTGCCTATGAGGCAATATATGGGGGAGGCCTATATTCACCAGTGGACTTTTATAGGCTGTAATGGATGAATCAAGTTATTGAGTTTTATCGGGCACCTAATACGCTTATAAGCTGTAACCTTACTCTACTTTTAATGTATTAATGTTAATGTACACGCCTTCTGAAAATATGTCCGCAATCTGTCGCTTTATATTGAAATAAATAAAAGAAAAACCTCAAGTGCGTGTACACGCACAACGTAGAGGTAGGGTTCCGAGCTATCCATTTATTAGTTCCCAGCAGTGGAACCGTAAGCTATACATAACCGTAATGAACCTTCCCGTGGTGGTTACCACTGCCCTAAACTATCGTGGGAGTCGCCCGTGTAAACCAAGTGTACCTACTGCGAATGAAATTATAAGCCTACAATAATTACTAAGTAACTAGAAAATAATCGAAATGGTATGCCAGGATCGGTCTCTTGACGATCGACACTCTTTGCCGATCCTGCAAAAGAAAACGTAAAGTTATAGTAGTAATGCATAAGTCGATTTCTTTAAAAAAAAAAACATTTTTTTCCAGTTTACAACAAAATTACAAAGTTAAAATGCTTTAGGTCGTTTTTCTAGTTGGTCTACTAACCTGTGATAGTTTTTCTTTTAACTTCATCATATTATATACTATTATCGTGCATACTTTTCACGTTTCTAAAAACAGCGGTTTAGTTGGTATACGGGGGGACACATGACTAATAAAACGTACCACTTTAAAGCTAAATATTTTGCAAACCTGAATCTAAAAAAGGTTGTTCTATAGCCCCAATATTATTGAAATACCCATCTAACGATTCACCACACGGTGGATTAGACGGGTAAAAAAAACACTTATATGGGAACTGGGAGGTAACTAAAATAAAAAAAAAATTCAAGATTTTATTTCACAACTTTGTAGGCGTGATTAATAGCTATCTTTGCCAAATTACAGCTTTGTAACACCTAGGGTCTCCCTAGGGGAGTAAAAACGCTGACGGACGGACGGACGGACATGGCGAAACTATAAGGATTGTTGTTTAACTTTAACTTTATCTTTTGTACGTGGTAGAGCCATGCTGTAGCTATATTGTGGTTGCAGCACGAATAGGTCGGTTCGACCGGGGTAGGATCACGCTATCACAAAATACCAGCGTAAAATAGCAGCTCAATGCTGCTGTGTTTAGTATGGTGAGTGTAGAGAACCGGAGACCCTTTTTACTGGAAAAGAGGCATTCCATCTTAGTCCTCACGCGTGACAACTCATCTGCATTTTGATTTGCAAACGAGGATAGATGTAGATGTCTATGGGCCACACATCGGATACCCTTTTTATTGGAAACGTGGCATTTTATTTAGTTCTAAGCGGTGACAACGCCTGCCTTTTGATTTTTTATCGATGATAGATGTAAATGTGCATGAGTCACAGCTTCATTTATCATCAGGTGGACTGTGTGATCGTTTCTCAACCTTGTTCTATAAAAAAAAAATGTGCAGAATACAAAAAAATGTATGTGTTACTTTTAATCACGTGTATTTAATGCTGTTTTTAAGCATTTTGATTAGGTTCAGTGTGGTTATTTAAAACTTCGACCAACAGCGCTATAGGTACCTAGTTAAGTATGAATTAGTATGAGATGATAAGAAATTCAGAGAGACAGAAGGTCCGAACAAAATTAAAAAGATTTCAAAATCAAACGAAATTGTGTAACGAAACATTTTAATAACAATTTAAAACAATATTACTTAACACTTACTTAATATAACTTACATTTAAAATACAAAAGTACATCATCATAAGTAGATCGCACTTAGGTTATTCCGTAGAAATTTTTGTGAACTTAATTTGTTGAAGACAATTATGAATCAAATATATAGACGAGGAGATAATAGCGCGTTTTACATTTTAAGGCACGTTTACAACCGATACAGCGTATTAAATTTGTTTATATGAAATTTACTTAAAGTTAGTTACGAAATTATTTACATTTTAATTTTATGATTTTCTAATATATTTTAAAATAATGTCGTGTTGGTAACGTACGAATACTTGTATCATTTAGTTAGATATCTACTTACTATGCATTTACATTAAAAACATGATGTATATAACGCATTTAAATATATAAATATAATGTCCTGCAGACCGAATTTCGGTCACGACTGTCGCAGATGACTGCGCGTATTTAGTTGGGGCCCATTCGATTAGTTCGATTTCTGTACTATACATAATACAGAATCGATTTCTGACAGCATACAAATATGTATAACAATTGTATATGTTACCGTGTCTGAATTTTAGTCTTCACGCAATTTATATTTATAAAACGCCTCTAAAACACAGGAGACATTCCTAGAGTGAGGGTAATTTATAATCCATATATATATATATGTTACATAATGTATATCACTACACACACAATTTCTAGAGAACCGGAGACCCTTTTTACTGGCAAAGAGGCATCATGACTTTCGGCTCAATAGAAATGTACATAGTATTCTGTGTACCTTTCTTTGATGGTTGAGTCTCCCATTATAATAAAAATATAATCAAATTATATAATATAATAAAAATTAAAAAGAAAACCAGCAATAGCAAACAGGTTTTTGTTAAGAAAGAGGTATGCACTTAATAATACTTTCTTAGAGGCTAATTTATATTTTCCATATTTACACTACTACGTACATTAATTAAAGTATCACGTATGCTTAAATAAAATGTGAATAAAACTTCCGTATAAAATCTAAACAACTTTCGTATACATTTGGTACGAGTTTCATTTAATATTTGGTTCCATTCTCAATTGCAAAGTTAGAAATCGCCTGCAAACTTGACCAATAAAGAAAGATAGACGCAGCGCTATGTTAATTTCAAGTGGCATATATCTTCTTTTTATAGTTTATTTGGATTGCCAATTAATGATTAATATATGGTTACATTACAGTATTATTAATTTTACATAATTAACTGTTCTTATAATTATAGGCAATCACAGCATGCGTTGTGTTACAAAAAGATAAATAGAACAAAAATGTGTATCTTTCTTCTTTCTTTCTTTCTTAATCAAGCCATAAAAGTCCGCTGCTGGATGCACATATATGCACCTGAAACCATGTTGTTGGTTGCAAATGATTTTAGATGCATAACATAATACCTTTAAATACCTTTGTTACATTAAGACATTTTACCAATCAATTTACCATCTAAAGCACTTTACTATCTAAGGCTTCATCACCACGTACCACTAGGTGGGATTGTCATCAAGCACCGAGTTATAATAATTAAAAAAAAATACATGTGTGCGTCAGTGGTGCGTAGCGCTCCGTTCTACCTCTATCTTTCTTTGTAAGTCCGATATTTTTTAAATAGAATTTAATACCTGTATCTTCTATTATAAATACTCTATAGAGTTAGATAAAGACGAAGATACAGGTATTAAACGGAGATAAATCTGATAATTTAGTATTTTTCTAAATCGTTCATTCAGTACACAACAAGACGGTAGCATGTATTTCGTTTAGGTCAAAAGTAGACCGTGAGGTTCATGTTCTCGGCGACCGCCGAGTTGGTCGCCTCGTTCACTTCGACCCTCTCAGCACTGCCCTGCAAAATATTCAATTTTAGTGACGCACTGGGCGAGGGATGCAATGGTGCCATGTTTATATTAAACTTAAGGCAATAGACCAACAATCCATAACCTTTTGCTGTAATCGCTGTTGTTTATATATATTCCACTACGCTCTCACAGAATACTATGTATTCTATGTATATATCTACCGTTATTTCATTATCTTGGGTATTATTTAGATATCATCATTTCATCATTACAGCCCTTCACAAGTCCACTGCTGAACATAAGCCTCCCCCAAAGAATGCCACAAAGCACGGTCCTGAGCCACCTGCATCCATCGACTTCCTGCATGTCTTACCAGGTCGTCACTCCATCTCGTGGGGAGACGCCCTACACTTCGCCTACCGGTATGAGGCTGCCACTCGAGAACCTTTCTTCCCCATCGGTTGTCGGTTCTTCGAGCTATATGGCCGGCCCACTGCCACTTCAGCTTACTAATCCGTTGGGCTATGTCGGTTACTCTGGTTCTACTGCGGATATCCTCATTCCTAAGTTTATCACGCAGAGAAACTCCGAGCATAGCCCTCTCCATAGCTCGCTAAGCGACCTTGAGCTTCCTCATCCAGCCAGCAGTGAAGGACCACGTCTCAGTTCCGTAAGTCATCACTGGCAACACGCACTGGTTGTACAATTTCGTTTTAAGGTTTTGAGGTATGTCTGACGAGAAGATGTGTCGTAGCTTCCCGAACGCTGCCCAGCCGAGTTGAATCCGTCGATTGACCTCTCGGTCGAAGTTGCACTTACCTAGTCGGACAATTTGTCCCAGGTAAATATACTCGTCAACAACTTCGAGCTTAGTGCTCCCAACAACTACCGGCATAGGTGTGACATAGACATTAAACATGATCTTAGTTTTGTCCATGTTCATCTTAAGACCTATTCGTTGGGAAACACTACTGAGGTCATTGAGCATAGTGCTTAGGTCCTCCAGCGATTCTGCCATAAGGACTATATCGTCGGCAAATCGAAGGTGAGTGATGTACTCGCCATTGATGTTGATACCGTATCCTTTCCAGTCCAGAAGCTTGAAAACGTCTTCCAATGCAGCGGTGAAGAGTTTCGGGGATATGACGTCACCCTGTCTTACAGCTCTCTGCAATTGGATAGGTTTCGTACTCTGGTTCTGTACTCGGATAGCCATCGTAGCCCTACTGTACAAGCACTTCAACACTTCGATATACCGATAGTCAACTTGGCACTGCTGAAGGGACTGCAGCACCGCCCAAATTTCGACGGAATCAAAGGCTTTCTCATAGTCCACATATGCCAGACATAGTGGCAAATTGTACTCTTCGGACTTCTGTACAATTTGCCGAAGGGTATGTATGTGGTCTATGGTGCTAAAGCCCTTTCGGAAACCGGCTTGTTCGGGAGGCTGGAAGTCGTCAAGTCTGCGCGCGAGACGATTCGTAATGACTCTCGAAAACAGCACGTAGACGCGGCTCAGAAGGGAAATCGGTCTGTAGTTCTTCAAGAGAGCGTTGTCACCTTTCTTGAAGAACAAGACCACCGCACTTCTGCTCCACGCCTCCGGTGTAATGCCACCATGGAGGACGGAATTAAAGAGCTTCTAAAGGACTTCAAGTACCGGTCTTCCACCCGCTTTCAGAAGCTCCGCTGTAATTCCATCCTCGCCTGGGGCCTTACCGTTTTTAAGGTGCTGGAGAGTCATTCTAATCTCGCTCAGACTGACGTCCGGGATATCTTCGGAATAGTGTCGGATGAGACTCGCTCTAGGATCGTTACTCACACTTGCGTGTGGCTCCAACGATGACGTGTACAGCTGCCCATAGAACCTCTCAATCTCACTCAAAATCTCAGGTATCCCGGAAACGATGCTGACACATTCTGTCTTCAGCTTTGACAGTTGGCTCTTTCTGGCAGACAGATCTCTGGCAAAGACTTTAGAGCCTTGGTTCCACTCGATCACTTCTTCAATACGAGCTGTATTGAAGTTGCGTAAGTCCCGCCGCATACATTTGGAGATCTGTCTGTTCAGATGCCTGTATGCTGTCAAGTCTGTTGAAGAATGTAGCTTCATCTCCCGTCTAACAGCCATGAGATTAAGAGTGTGATCGGAGAGTTTTTGTGTTCTTCTGCGGCGGGTCTTGCAGAACTTAGCTCCGACCGCATGGACAGTTTCCACGAGCTTGTCATTCATATCGTCCACTTCATTGCAGTCTTCTAGGCACTGAAAACGGTTTTGTAACTCGAGCTGAAAGGTTTCGGGACTTTGGAACAGAGCACGAGGGGGACGGAGCGTTGACTTCATTAGACGAGACCACTCCAACTTAACGTTTAGGTTCAGTGTGCCTCTAACCATTCGGTGATCGCTACCAGTTTTCACCCTCGCGATCACGGAGACATCACAGAACAGTTGTCGTTTGGTCGTCATAATGAAGTCAATCTCATTTTTTGTCGAACCGTCGGGACTCGACCAGGTCCACTTCCTGTGGGGCCGCTTCTAGAAGAAAGAGTTCATCATAAAGAGTCCCTCTTTCTCCATGAATTCGGCCAGCTGCTGGCCCCTTGGGTTCTGTTGCCCTATTCCAAATTTCCCTACTTTCAGCTCACCGTTCTCTCTTGTGCCTGGTTTTGCATTGAAGTCTCCCATTAACACCGTATATTGGGTTTTGGAGGAATGCATGGCTCTAGAGATATCCTCATACATTTCCTCCACCTCCTCATCGGGGTGTGCCGAGGTTGGTGCGTAAACCTGTATGACCTTCAGCGAATACCGTTTGGTGATTCTGAGTATAAGGTACGCAACCCTCGTCGACACACTCCCGATCTTTACAACGTTGTTAACGAGAGACTTGTGGACGATAAATCCGACACCTCCTTGGGACAGATGGTCGCCCTCCCGGTGATAGAGCAAGTTGCCGGATTCGAGGATTACCGTGTCCTCCCCCTCTCTTCGGACTTCGGATAATCCTATAATATGCCAGCGCAACTTGTCTATCTCTTCTTCCAGCTCCACGATCTTCTCGTCAGTCCTCAGGGTGCGTGCGTTGTACGTTGCCAGGTCGAGTCGTCTAAGGTGGCAACCGAACCTCCACCGGAGATTCTTAGCACCCCCTGCCCCGCCGTTACCATGGTCGCCACCGTAGCCAGGAATAGCGGGGCCGCCGGGGACTGGGGGCCGTCTCTTTGTTACATTCATAGGGGGGTATTTGCCATAGTTGCCACGCTTGGCGAGCGGGTTGGCAACCGCAGTTTTTTTATTGTAATTTTGGCTATTATCAGGAAGATGCTGTTGCCCATCTATTCTTGACCGCCACTACACGGCATTATTTAGATATGTGTGTATATATTTACTTTTTATAATATTTCTTTATGGTCTCTGGAGCCGCCTTCGTATTGTTATTACTGCCCTAAGGTTGACTGACATTAAGTCCGCCTTTTGATCCTATACTAATTTGTAAAGATTAATAAAGATTAAATAAATAAATAATCATCATTGTTATCGTCATCATAAGCCCGTAACAGTTGGACACGGGCTCTTCCCTTTCCAGGAAGAACTGCTCTTAAACGTCACTCTTGACGGGCATATTGACGATCGCAGAACCGGACATGACGCCGTTTTGATGCAATTGTGCGTCTAGCGTTGAAGCGATTATACCGCCATCTACCTTTTACAACATACTACAGGATGATTTGATGGACACTTTTGCGCCGCACACACAGTTAGTTTACTTTAAACCAGGTCCAGATTAAGTTTTTTATTCTAGATATCTTACCAAATTGCCATAATGACAATCGGGATTTTTCATTGTCAGAGTCAGAACTTAGAATCGTTTATGTAAATAAGAAACACTGAAGTAATATCTCTATTTAAACTGTGGTAATATATACTACGTACAAGAAGAAACGCCGAGAATTGGTTGTTTGCAACACGCGTTAGAGCCAAACTTAAGTTGGCTCCAACTTATTTAGTCTGCGCCGCACAGGTTTTGTTCGCGGTGTCTATTCTAGTATGTAGTACTTAGTAAGCTGAGCTTCATGACGCGCACGGGTATGGTGGCGCTGAGCCGACGGATGTGTGAAAGAGTGTAGCGGTGTGTAGCGGTGAGTAGCGTTGTATAGCAGTATGCACCACCATAAGGTGCATGGTGCAGTGGTGCGGTACCTGTACGTCGTCCTAACTGAGATTCTCAACGCGCACGGGTATGGTGGTGGTGGTCCGTCGGGTGTGTAGCGGTATGTAGTGGTAAATAGTGATGTGTAGCGGGGAGTACCGGTATGTAGTGGTGTGTAGCAGTGTGTTGGTGCATGGTGCAATGGTGCGGGATCTGTGCTTTGTCCCACCTGAGCTTCTTGACGTACGAGGGTATGGTGGCACTGGACCGACGGGTGTGTAGCCTTTAGTAGCGGTGTGTAAAAGTGTGTATCAATGTATAGATGTGATAGCGGTGTACAGCGGTGTTTAGCGGTGTGTAGCGTTGTGTAGCGGTGTGTAGTGGTGCGTAGCGGTGTGTAGCGGTGTTTAGCGATGTGTGGTGTATGTTGCAGTAATGCGGTACCTGTGCGTCATCCCAGCTGAGCTTCTTGACGCGCGCCGGAATGGTGGCGCTGGGCCAGGCCACGCCGGAGCGTCCGGCGCCGCGCGCGTGCAGGTGGTCGCTCATCAGCGCCGTGCCGTTTGTCAGTACGGGTGGCGCGGGCGCCACTTTGCTTTTGGCAGGGAATCGTTGTGATTGCCTATTCACTGGCACACCTACAACAATTGTGTCTTTACTTTGGTAGGTTTCTTTGTAGATGCCGTGTTGTGGCAACGTAAGGGAAACCACTATTTTAATCAATTCGTGGGTGTCGTGAGAAGCGGCAGAGAATACTGAATTAGATGGACAGCAACATTTTCCTGATAAGAGTTTAATAATATAAAAAAACTGTCAGCCGTAGGACTGCACTTTTGAAGTAAAAACTTACTAACTATATCACAAAGGAAACATTTTTTTTTGGGCTTGTCAAGACATATCTGTATATTATCTGAGCGTGAATTTCACGCGAGTTCAGTGCTTTTTCCCTATCCAAAAAGTGACAAACGTGCATAAAGAATTTTTCAATTCAGTAAAAAAAAAACCCGGCTGCCAAGCATGATAACTGTGGCAAATATTCCCCATGTGAGATGTGTAAAGGTGTGGTATCGGTGTATAGCGGTGTGTAACGGTGTGTAGCGGTGTGTAGCGGTGCGTAGCGGTGTGTAGCGGTGCGTAGCGGTGTGTAGCGGTGTGTGGTCCATTGTGCAGTAGTGCGGTACCTGTGCGTCATCCCAGCTATGGCAATTTTTAACAGTGGAGTTTTTATTGAATGTAATGGTGATGACTGGAATCATCATATGCAGTATGTTTTTTTTACAGAAGAGAGGGCAAACGAGCACGTGGCTCATCTGATGGTTAGTGTCCACCGCCGCCCATAAACAACTGCAAAACCAGGGGACTTGCAGGTGCATTGCCAGCCTTTTAAATATGAGTAAATTCGTTTCTTGAAGACCCCTAAGTCATATTGGTTTGGAAAAATTGCCGGTGGTAAACGAAGTCGCAGGAGGAAAAACACTCCTAGTTAATCGCACAGTGGTGGATCGCCAAGCATCCAGATGATGTGGATGTTACCGTGAATTTGCGAGGTGTGTTGGTGTAATTTGGCGGCTTGAATGAATCCAAACAATTCCTCTGAGCACTCCTTGTGGTAAATGCGATAGAAAATACAAAGGAATTCAACATTTTTTCGTATCGCCAGTGTATTGAGCCGATCAGAAAGAACTCGGTCGTTGACGATTTGGACCGCTCTGCACTGAATGCGGTCAAGTGGAAGGAGCTGGGACTGATGCGCCCCCGCCCAGAGATGAGAACAGTATTCAACCGAAACTGAGGCTCATAAAGTTGCAAACGGTGTGCCTACATGTAATACTGGGTATACTAAAGGTGGATTCCATGAGTTGGGGGCTACGGCCAGGGAAGAAGAGTACCTGAAGAGACTCATTAGAACCGGTGCCAACATCGGAGCATACGTCTTCAGCACTAAAGGAGGCCCACTCGACATTTAGACGTCCAAGGAGATGATATATCCCATAGTATACCAGCGTTAAATAGCAGCTCAATGTTGCTGTTTCGTATGGTGAGTGTACTTCTTTACAGAACCGGAGATCCATTTTACTGGAAACGAGGCATTCCATCTTAGTATTCAGAGGTGACAACACGTCTGCATTTTTATTATTAATCAATGATAGACGTAGATGTTAATAGACCACAGCATCCACTTACCATCAGGTGGACTGCGTGTTCGTTTATCACCGTTATAGTTTATAAATAAAACGTGAGGTGGGTAGTGACCAGTGTCGGCGGGGTCCAGGCTGGCGGTGGAGCCGGCCAGGATGGTGCTGGCGCCGGCCGACACGCTGCGCGGCGACTCGGCGCGCGCGCCGCCCGCCGCCGCCTCCCCCGCACTCCCCGCACTCCCCGCACTCCCCGCATTCCTCCCTCCTCCTGTGCTGCCCACACTCCCTACACCCATCGTACTAGGGGGCTCCTCCGGTGGCAGGGTGAGAGCAGAAGCGCTGTCGTTTTTACTTCGCCGTCTTCGCCTGTATTTTAAACCAAAATTCCAGTTGAGTTTAGTGCCGTGAAGTAGTAGCGTAATGTATTTTGCAGTCACTCCATTTAAACCCGTGGGTGTCGTAAAACCGAATATGGGAAAGGCCAGAAATCTCATAACCTTCAAAAGATGTCGGTATAACAACTTGTTTACGCCAGACACAAAATAAAGGATATAAAGAAATAAAGAGAAACAGAAGTGAAGTCGGATTTCAAAACATATTTATAAAATGAGTAGCAGGGAAATAGTTTCAATTAGTTTTCGTCCATCACCATTGTATTCATCGGCCGAAGAGTCCACTATCTCATCTTAGCTGGCTTTGAAAGTTCTTTAGTCAGTGGAACAAGAGGGGATTATTAATATCAGTTGATCCGTGGAACTATACTGTTTCGAAAAATCCTTTGAAGTAAATCTGAGTAGAAAATGCTCGCACAAAATACTAGCGTAAAATAGCAGCATGATGCTGTTATGTTTCATATAATGAGAGACGAGAACCGTAAATCCATTTTATTGCTAATAAATTAATGGCTCTTAGCCCCCAGGCGTTGTTACGCATCTCCACTTTGATTCTTAATCGAGGGTAGATGTTAATTTGTATGGTCAACAGTGTTTACTTACCATCAAGTGAATTGTGTCATAGTTTGTTCCTCTTTGTCATCATCATCATTACAACCCTTCAGAAATTCCCTACTAAATATCCTCCTCTAGAAAAAATGCCACAAAACATGGTACCGAGCTACTTACACCCATAAAGATCTCTATGATGTCTAACCTAAACTAACCTCACCCTCGTGGAAGGCTGCCTAACACTTCGTGTATTGGTACAACTGCCACTCTAGAATCTTTCTTCCCCACATGAGCTACAGGACTGGCCCATTACCCCTTCAGTTTACTTATCTGTTAGCTTATGTCGTTAACTCTGGCTGTGCTACGGATGTATTGATTACGTATTTTATGACGCAGAGATTCTCCATTTAGAATTTTGTCACTTCTGTTTCTATAAAGCACGGTCCTACTTTAGCCATCGATTTTCTTCATCTTTCACTCCATCTAGTAGGAGTCAGTCCTACACTTCGTTTAGCGGTATGAGGCTGCCACTTGACAACCTGTTTTCCCCATCGGTTGTCGGTACCTCGAGTTATATGGCCAGTTCATTGTAACTTCAGCGTACTTACCCGTTGGGCTACGTCGGTTATGTTGGCCGTAGGACCGTGCTTTGTGGCATTTCTTGGGGAGAATTATCTTCAGCGGTGGACTTTTGTATGAATGAAATTAAATGTATGAATGAAATGATGAAAATTCAATGAGTTCTTATAAAAATTTGTGGCCGTTTGGTGTGTAAGCAGAGTGAATGAGAATGCAGAATGGAGTGCGAAATGGAACAAAAAGAATATGGCTCTATGCCGCAGTAGCTTAGCATTGAGATGCGGTGCCGGAACATGTATTTGCATGGCCTATTAATAATTGTTCCTGGTCTGGACGTTTGTCATTTGCAATTTATATATGAAAACTGCTTCTACTATACAAGAGAAAATCTTAGTATGGGGTAACATTAAAAAAAAAAAGAAGTAAGAAAAATCAAAATAACGCGACGGCTGCCTTGGCAGTACTAAATATCGCATTATTTTCTACTAGCTGTTCCCCGCGACTTCGCCCGTGTGGAGTTATTTTTCGGAGTTTTTTTCATCAGCTATCTGCCAGTGTGTATAAATATTGACAAATATTGACATTAATATTTATACGATACTAAAGTCACTCAATTGTTTTGCCTTCCCGGAACCTCATCACTAACACTTAAACTTTATGGTACGAGTATGGTATTAAAGTTCAAATTGACTTTTAAGTATTATTGCGAATCTTTTGTATGGGAACATAGAAAAATGTTGTTTTTAGACGTTTTCAGGCAATTTTTTTTAATTTTTCTCTCCGTAAGAACAATCTTTGTACTTAAAGAAATGTTATAAAAAAGAATTAGCGAAATCGGTTCAGCTGCTCCCGAGATTTGCGCTTAGCAACACATTCAGCGATTCATTTTTATATTATAGAGAAGATGTGTGCTAATGCAGTTAAACCCCGCGGTTGTGTGTGTGCGTTGTGAGACACTTATATGAAGCTACTAAACAACTGTGCAAAGTGTAGTCAGCAGTTGTTGTGTGGTACGCACCTGCGGCAGATGTAGAGGAGCAGCACCAGCACGAACAGCGCCAGCAGCGCTAGCGCGGCGCCCAGCGCGCCCAGCGCCACGCCCCGCGGCCCCACGAAGCCGTCCTGCGCGCCCCCCATCGCACCCCACCCGCGCCCCACCACACGCACTGACACCGGCACCGACGTCTGCACACACATTGCTTTCACTTATTACAGATGAACGTTATTTCAGCTACTTACTACCTATTACATAAAAACAACTATCATAAATAGTTGTTTTGATGGCTGTGTTTCGTACGGTGTGATTGAAGAAAACCGAAGATCCTTTTTTTATAGGATAGGGTGACAAACGAACACACAGTCCACCTGATGGTAAGTGGTCACTGTGACCCATAGACATCTACATCTATCTTCAATATATTACTGATATATTATTGACCAATTTGGTCAATAATATATCAGGTAATATATTATTGACCAATTTGGTCAATAATTTTGTATATATAAAGTGATATCCTTCAAAAATAGACTTTGAAGATATAATAGAAGATTTTCACAACAGACATCCCGAAAGAAACCACTGTCGTAATGGTAACCAATTCAAACAGTTAATTGGTATTAATTACTTGAGTAATTAAGAATTAAACAGAAAAATGTTTTTGTCATTCACTTTTTTACTTTCCAACAGGGCCCCAAATTCTTGTGTGCCCAAGGGCCCCGGTATGACCCAAGACGGCGTTGGCTGCAATATTAGAATCACGCGTTACTTTGCGGTAATCAATTATAATAAACACACAATAATTAGCCAACAAAGTGCCGTGTAGTGGCGGTCAAGAATATCCACTAACCCATATCCTCCCGTGGGTGTCGTAAAAGACGACAAAGGGAAACAGGCGGAAGATGGGCAGCAGCATCTTCCTGATAATAGCCAAAATTATAATAAAAAAACTGCGGTTGCCAACCCGCTCGCCAAGCGTAGCAACTATGGCAAATACCCCCCAATGACTAAAGCAACAAACAGACGGCCCCCAGTCCCCGGCGGCCCCGCTATTCCTGGCTACGGTGGCGACCATGGTAACGGCGGGGCACGGGCTGCTAAGAATCTCCGGTGGAGATTCGGTTGCCACCTTAGACGACTCGACCTGGCAACGTACAACGCACGCACCCTGAGGACTGACGAGAAGATCGTGGAGCTGGAAGAAGAGATAGACAAGTTGCGTTGGCATATTATAGGATTATCCGAAGTCCGAAGAGAGGGGGATGACACGGTAATCCTCGAATCCGGCAACTTGTTCTATCACCGGGAGGGCGACCATCTGTCCCAAGGAGGTGTCGGATTTATCGTCCACAAGTCTCTCGTTAACAATGTTGTAAAGATCGGTAGTGTGTCGACAAGGGTTGCGTACCTTATCCTCAGAATCACCAAACGGTATTCGCTGAAGGTCATACAGGTTTACGCACCAACCTCGGCACACCCCGATCAGGAGGTGGAGGAAATGTATGAGCATATCTCTAGAGCCATGCATTCCTCCAAAACCCAATATACGGTGTTAATGGGAGACTTCAATGCAAAACTAGGCACAAGAGAGAACGGCGAGCTGAAAGTAGGGAAATTTGGAATAGGCCAACGGAACCCAAGGGGCCAGCAGCTGGCCGACTTCATGGAGAAAGAGGGACTCTTTATGATGAACTCTTTCTTCCAAAAGCGGGCCCACAGGAAGTGGACCTGGTCGAGCCCCGACGGTTCGACAAAAAATGAGATTGACTTCATTATGACGACCAGACGACAACTGTTCAGTGATGTCTCCGTGATCGCGAGGGTGAAAACTGGTAGCGATCACCGAATGGTTAGAGGCACACTGAACCTAAACGTTAAGTTGGAGAGGTCTCGTCTAATGAAGTCAACGCTCCGTCCCCCTCGTGCTCTGTTCCAAAGTCCCGAAACCTTTCAGCTCGAGTTACAAAACCGTTTTCAGTGCCTAGAAGACTGCAATGAAGTGGACGATATAAATGACAAGCTCGTGGAAACTGTCCATGCGGTCGGAGCTAAGTTCTGCAAGACCCGCCGCAGAAGAACACAAAAACTCTCCGATCACACTCTTAATCTCATGGCTGTTAGACGGGAGATGAAGCTACATTCTTCAACAGACTTGACAGCATACAGGCATCTGAACAGACAGATCTCCAAATGCATGCGGCGGGACTTACGCAACTTCAATACACCTCGTATTGAAGAAGCGATAGAGCGGAACCAAGGCTCCAAAGTCTTTGCCAGAGATCTGTCTGCCAGAAAGAGCCAACTGTCAAAGCTGTAGATGGAATGTGGCAGCATCGTTTCCGGGACACCTGAGATTTTGAGTGAGATTGAGAGGTTCTATGGGCAGCTGTACACGTCATCGTTGGAGCCACACGCAAGTGTAAGTAACGATCCAAGAGCGAGTCTCATCCGACATTATTCCGAAGATATCCCGGACGTCAGTCTGAGCGAGATTAGAATGGCTCTCCAGCACCTTAAAAAAGGTGAGGCCCCAGGCGAGGATGGAATTACAGCGGAGCTTCTGAAAGCGGGTGGAAGACCGGTACTTGAAGTCCTTCAGAAGCTCTTTAATTCCGTCCTCCATGGTGGCATTACACCGGAGGCGTGGAGCAGAAGTGCGGTGGTCTTGTTCTTCAAGAAAGGTGACAACGCTCTCTCGAAGAACTACAGACCGATTTCCCTTCTGAGCCGCGTCTACGTGCTGTTTTCGAGAGTCATTACGAATCGTCTCGCGCGCAGACTTGACGACTTCCAGCCTCCCGAACAAGCCGGTTTCCGAAAGGGCTTTAGCACCATAGACCACATACATACCCTTCGGCAAGTTGTACAGAAGTCAGAAGAGTACAATTTGCCACTATGTCTGGCGTATGTGGACTATGAGAAAGCCTTTGATTCCGTCGAAATTTGGCCGGTGCTGCAGTCCCTTCAGCGGTGCCAAATTGACTGTTGGTATATCGAAGTGTTGAAGTGCTTGTACAGTAGGGCTACGATGGCTATCCGAGTACAGAACCAGAGTACGAAACCTATCCAATTGCAGAGAGGTGTAAGACAGGGTGACGTCATATCCCTGAAACTCTTCACCGCTGCATTGGAAGACGTTTTCAAGCTTCTGGACTGGAAAGGATACGGTATCAACATCAATGGCGAGTACATCACTCACCTTCGATTTGCCGACGATATAGTCCTTATGGCAGAATCGCTGGAGGGCCTAAGCACTATGCTCAATGACCTCAATAGTGTTTCCCAACGGATAGGTCTTAAGATGAACATGGACAAAACAAAGATCATGTTTAATGTCCATGTCACACCTATGCCGGTAGTTGTTGGGAGCACTAAGCTCGAAGTTGTTGACGAGTATGTTTACCTGGGACAAATAGTCCGACTAGGTAAGTCCAACTTCGACCGAGAGGTCAATCGACGGATTCAACTCGGCTGGGCAGCGTTCGGGAAGCTACGACACATCTTCTCGTCAGACATACCTCAAAACCTTAAAACGAAATTGTACAACCAGTGCGTGTTGCCAGTGATGACTTACGGAACTGAGACTTGGTCCTTCACTGCTGGCCGTATGAGGAAGCTCAAGGTCGCTCAGCGAGCTATGGAGAGGGCTATGCTCGGAGTTTCTCTGCGTGATAAACTTAGGAATGAGGATATCCGCAGTAGAACCAGAATAACCGACATAGCCCAACGAATTAGTAAGCTGAAGTGGCAGTGGGCCGGCCATATAGCTCGAAGAACCGACAACCGATGGGGAAGAAAGGTCCTCGAGTGGCAGCCTCGTACCGGTAGGCGAAGTGTAGGGCGTCCCCCCACGAGATGGAGTGACGACCTGGTAAGACATGCAGGAAGTCGATGGATGCAGGTGGCTCAGGACCGTGCTTTGTGGCATACTTTGGGGGAGGCCTATGTTCAGCAGTGGACTTGTGAAAGGCTGTAATGATGAATTAGCCAAGATTCACGTGAAAATAAAATGGTGTGTCTTTCCTAATTTGAAAAGTACCTTCCTCCCTCCTCCGTATAATAAGTTCGTAGCGGTTAACCAACGCCGACTATTTCTCCTGATAATGTCTCATTTAGAAGCGAAGCACGTATCGTATTATCAACGTTGGTGCATCTTTCCTCAAATGGTACTCGCAGTTAGGGGTATTGTTGTTGGGTTTAGTGGTGGCAGAGTCACACCAGCCAAGGTCTTCAAATTCATTTTCACATCTTTAATGCCAACAAGGGGAGTAGTAGTCGCGCATGCGCGAAGACTTTAATTTAATATAAAATAAGATATTACCTAATATAAAATAAATATAAGGATTTAACATAAAATATCTTAATTTCATATAAACAAACATGTTATATTTCTAAATAATTTCTAATAATAATTATTTTATGGAATTCACAAATCTTCAATTTACGCAATATTTAGTTTGTACGGATTGCAGTACAGTTCAGTTGAACATAGTCAATGTTCGGAATGGCTTCTGTAATACGTAGTACATATAACTCAATGCCAACAAATCATTGCCTCTTTAAATGACACGCCTGTATCTATCTATCTATCTATCAGTTACACCCAACGCTATATATAAATATAGCGTTGGGTGTAACTGTAAATATATAGTATTTATTATTGAAGAATCTGAACTAACTAGTTCAGATGTAAATGCGGTGTTATCGCATGCGCATCGATAAAGCGGAGTATTTGACAATACTACCCAGCCAATGCATAAGTAATAAACCCACATACAATTTCCAAATATAATTTATTTAGATTTAATGAAATATTTTTATGGTCGAGTTTCTCGGACATGCAGGTTTACTCGTGGTGTTTTCCTTCACCGCCGAGCACTTAAAATTGCCATTAACAATTTAATTGGTGCCAACGGGGATCGAACCCGGGTTGCTCGCATATTGTGAAATTTATAGCTAGCGCTTACCATTTAAGCTACCACGGCTGCCAGAAATAAAAAAAACAAAATACGAAGATATGTGGCATTCTTTGGGGGAGGCCTATGTTCAGCAGTGGACTTGTGAAGGGCTGTAATGATGATGATGATGATGTGAAGTTCGCCAACACGCATTGGGGTAGCACGGCGGACGTTTCCTTGTCCTAAAATCCCTTGCCCGTGCCTAGTTGTGGGGCGTATATAGGCTGTAACTTTAACTCAACGTTATGGTAGAGTTTTCTGAAGTACCTAAAGTTATTTTTATACGTTTAAATACTGATTCTAATAACACACTTAACGGGAACTACAGGGTTACATTATTGTATTTAAAAATCAATTACCGTGCGTTAGTCTTGCAAAAACTCGAAAATAGTATGTGCCTTTGAGTGGGTCGCTGGGTAGCTTAGATTTACAATTAGACCTGGTAGTTTTTACTGCTGTTGATATTCAAAAATTACCCGTGCGCAGACGGGACGTATTCCTAGTTAGGTATATTTTGTCCCAGTCCCAGTCCCAGGTACAAATTCTCGTCAACAAATCCGAGCGTAGTGTTACTAAGAACTGACGATATAGGTGCACGTTGACGTTAAACATAATTTTAGTCTTGTCCATGGATCCATGTTCATCTTGAAATCTACCCGTTAGGTTATACAATAAAGTCGTAAAACATAGAGCTATGGTTCTCCAATGAATTATCATATATATATAAACTTTTTCTTATTTAGACTACGGTGTCCAAAATACGAGTAAATAAACCTTTTATTAAACATTATATTATCCAAGAGTGTTATTTGTTACCTGTCTTGGTGGATCGCCGGAGTCTATAGCAGTAGCTACGACGTGCAGAACCGATGAATTCATTGTTGCTAATGCTTCTCGTCGTAGAAACATCTCGCCCGAGTCGTTTATGTAGAACAACCTGGGGAATGGTAATATGCAAAGGACAAATTTATACTCTATCACGGTACAGTAAAGCTCAGAATGAATATGTAAAATTATTCCTATTATTCAGTTAAACCACTACCACGAAGGCCTATAAAAGTCCACTGCTGAACATAAGCCTCTCCCATAGATGTCCACATAGGGAAGACTTTGCCATAGTTGCCATTCTTGGCAGGCGCGTTGGCAATCACAATTTTTAGAACGAAGTTCCTTATCGGACGGTACGGGTTTGGCGGATGGGAGTTAGGCGACAAAATGTAAGATTTTTTCGTCACTACCCCTTGTGTCATAGTGTAGACGGCCTTGGCAAGGAAATAAGGAAGTGAGATGAAATAATATCCATCTCCCTCGCACTTTTTCTTATCTTGGCATGAAAGAAATATAATTTTATTTCAAATGACGCTTTATTTTAAATAGACGCTGGTAATTCATTTATTTGTATTTTTTAATCAATAATATTATAATACCTACGTTTATCAATAATAATATACTACGCAAGGATCTTCGTTCCAAACGAGTGTTCCACGATACTCACGCATTTTTTAATAGTTTTAATTGATATTAGGAAGATGCTGTTGCCCATCTTCTATTTTAGTTTACCTCTGTCGCCTCTTACGACACCCAGAGGACTTTATGAGTTAGTAGATATTCTTATACCGCTATTGCAAGGTACAATTAGACTACTTAAACCTCTTTATCTTTTTGTTTCCTTACCTAACATCTCGTGGAATAGTAGTCAAGCAATAGCTTATAATAGTCAAATAAAATTATTTAAATTTTAAAATTTTGTACAGCCGACTTCAATATAAGTTATTAAGAATAATTCGAAAACTATTGGTCAGACCTTGATCAAATTTATATGCCACATGACCACATATGAAGTACCAGCTTTCAAATAAAGAAAGAATCATTGAAATCGGTTCACCCAGTAAAAAGTTATGAGGTAACACACATAAAAAAACATACAGTCGAATTGAGTACCGTCTCCTTTTTGGAAGTCGGCAGAAAAATATTATAATGAACAATTTCAAAAAGCTTTAGTTTTTTTTTAACTTAAGCTTTTATAAAGCGACATTAAAGATCACTTTATTAATTAAGTGATATTCAATGATTTGAACGATTCAATTACGTGACTAGATATAAAATTTTAATTTTATTATTTCAAGACCCACTTCGATGAATGGCGTCTGTTACGTGTGACACTAGTATAGAATTAAAGTTTGGAAAACAAAGGAAAGCACAAACTCACGCACACACACACACACACAAGTAGTAAAAAATAAAACTTTAAAAAATCCCACTTAAAACTATGTGCAAAAGAGCAGAGATAGAGATAGAAAGAAAGAGGGTTATAGAAATGTTATTTTATAGTACCAAAATAAGTATACATCTGTAAGTGGCTCCATCTACAACTATGTATAGATATTGTTTCTCATTTAAAAAATATTAGGTAGAGAGAGAGAGAGAGAGAGAGAGAGAGAGAGAGAGAGAGATAGAGAGAGAGAGATAGTGATAGATAGATAGTGTGTGAGCGAGTGAGAAGACAGTAGGTCTCACGGAGCGTGCGTGCCGTGGAGTGTGAGCGAGACGGAGTCGGCGCGGTCGCCGTCGTGCACCTCCAGCTGCCCCACCGCCACCAGCCCGCTCGCGCTGCATGACAACATCTCACGTCATACCACTGCATTTTTTACATGGACAAATGCCTACGCATACCCAGTTTCCGGGATGCAAGGACGGGTTACGTCAGACTCGCGCTGTCTATATAGAATAAGGGTGGCAAAGGAGCACACAGTCCATCTGATGGTAAGTGGAGACGCTGTAGCCCGTATACATTTTATACATTTATCCTCAATTAAGAATCAAAATGCAAATGCGTTGTCACCCCTGAGATGGTCTGGTCTAAGATGGAATGTCTCGCTTCCAGTAAAAAGGGTCTCCGATTCTCTACAGTCACCATACAAAACAGAGCAGCATTAAGCTGCTATTTTACGCTGGTATTTTGTAAGAGCGTGGTCCTACCGCAGTCGAGCCGACCCATTCGTGCTATAACCATGATATAGCTGCAGCACGGCTCGCAGTGCAAGGCTAATTAACACATTAGGTTCTGGTGACTAATTTATATAATTTTCTCCACCGGTTGATCACCAGTGTCAGAAAAACTGCCGTGCAGCATCCATCTGCATTTTAATTCTTAATCGAAAACAGATGTAGATGTCAATGGATCACAGCATTTTCTTACCATCAGATGGACTGTCACCCTTATACTTTAAAAAATATATATTTTAAGAAATAATTGCAAGGCCTCTAAGGACTCTAAATGCCTGAAGAAGTAAAAGATGAATTGTTACAATATAATATGAAAACACATACGCTACATCGCCACTCTCATCCTCCATAGCATCTGTGTCCAGTTGAAACTCATAGTGCGGGAAACGGAATCGCGGCTCCCACTCGTTGACGTTCAGCACAGTTATGTTCACTGCTGCCGTATCGTTCTGTAATAATCCGATATTATTCTAGTATTGCACTTTAATTATATGTACATTAAGGTCAAATTTCATTTGTTACTTACACTAACTCCGTCGGTAACCATAACCTGGTAGTTGTAGGAGTCCGTTGTTTCGTAATCGAGCGACTTTTTCAACAACACTTCACCGGCACTGTTAATTGCAAACTTGTCCAGAAAACTTTTGTCTGATACGTAGAACTGAAGAGGAGTCTGTAATAATTATTATTATTGACTATAAAATTTTTAATTCTCTATTATTTTTATCAATATTAAAGACATGACTCACGTAAGTAAATAAAATTCTTATATCTAAAATTCTTTTCATACATAAACATAGACTTTGTAGTGGATGATGTATATAAGTTTTAAATAGAACAAAAACTATACACTATTTATTACAGTAATGACATATTAACAAAATATTAAACAAAAAAATTCAAAAGAATATGAACGTATCGCAAAATAAAATTGGAACAAAATTGCTGCTTAAAATGTATCGTACTCGTATCTACTCTGATAAACATTTTTAATTTGTAATATGCGAAAAAAACTATCATTGGCTTGCCAACTTGTTGTTTCCTTTTCCTAGATGTACTTATTTTTAAATTGTTGTCTGTTGTTGTTCCAAATAAAGTAAAAAAAAATATTAATGAGGTTACAATAGTGTAGAGTTCAAAAAACGGTTTTTTTTATGTATGTTCAAGGATCTATCGGAAATTTCTGATCCGATTTTAACGACTATTTTTCATCAAACTATTTATACGTCGGCGGTTAAAATAAGGTTGGAAAAGATAATAATAATGTACACGCCCCTAGCTGCCCCAACATAGGTTGACGGGACTAGGGCCCATGAGTAATCCCATCGACGGGCAACAAGGGACGGGGACCAACGGCCTATGGAGACTTATCAAACTACACAATAGATATAAGGCTAGGTAAATAAATAGTACGTACCTGCTTCCGAAACTAAGACTGCCCCAAGGCTCGGTCAGGCCGTAGGTAGGTGTAGGTGCATGTAAGTGGTGTGTAGTAGTGTTTATATATGTGACCTGACCCAAGTGAGGTGATCGGGCAGCGGCCCGGTCCGATGCTGCCCCACCATGTTGTATCACTCCAGCGGACGTCACCAATTGACGTCTTCTTTCTTCATTTCACTATTTCTGTCTATCAACTTTATTGTACACTATTTCAATCTATCAACTCTATTGTACCTTTAATTAACTTCAAACTCAACTAAATCTCCGTTAATCATAATCACAACGTAACGCACGGCACGACTAATGATCGGTGGATCAAAGTTCACTTCCGTTTTCACTCGGCAACAAATTATTTCTAGAACCGAACGCGACCTTTTCTAGGGTCCTAAAGTTCCGCGTTACAAAGAACAAACTAACTTCCTTCGTACGATATTAAATACTACGCCCGCATTAAGACTCAAAATCAGCCTAGCTGACACGCAAACTAACTACAGAGTCACACACAAAAGGCACTTAATGAGACGGTACAATTAAACATTAACTTCCCAAAACAATTAACCGGGTCACGCCCTCGAAATGGAATGCGAGCATCAAATTACAAACAGGGAACTTTTTTTTTTTTTTTTATAGGATAAGGGTGACAAACGAGCACACAGTCCACCTGATGGTAAGTGATTGCTGTGGCCCATAGACATCTACATTTATCCTCGATGAGGAATCAAAATGCAGATGCGTTGTCACCCGTGAGGACTAAGATGGAATGCCTCGTTTCCAGTAAAAAGGGTCTCCGGTTCTCTGCACTCACCATACGAAACACAGCAGCATTAAGCTGCTATTTTACGCTGGTATTCTGTGAGAGCGTGGTCCTTCTCCGGTCGAGCCGACCCATTCGTGTTACAACTATACCAGAAATATAGTTGCAGCTTGGCTCTACCACGTAATGTCCACGTATGTCCAATCGGCGTACGCGCAAGGTTCCACGTTACACAAGGAAGTTAAATATTGCAAAATGAACTTCAACCGGCAATCACTATACAATTTACGTATATTACTTGCCAACGAATTTAGGTTAATCAATCAAAATATTATCGCTTCGTTATCGCGTGAACGCACTAAAGATAACCAAAACTAGAAGCGAAAAACTCCAATAGTAAATTAACGCGCACAAAGACTCAAATTCTAGACCACAAAACCCAAAACTTGTCGCGCGAAATAGATGCAGCGGTCACCAAAATACGTTAATCGACCGCATCGCTGCTGACAAGCTACTGACTTCGCACTCGGCCGGAAACACGGGAGCCGGCACACTGCCCCCCCCCCCCCTCGGAGGCTTTACCTCACCTCGACACCATCGGGTGATGCACTAACTCAAACGCGATTGGATGCCGTTTCAAATGCCTATATTTGGCCTAAACAAATAATTTGAACTTAAATGTTAAAGTAACTATAACAAACTTTTAATAAAAAATAAAAACCGACTTCAAAAACTATAAAGAACAAAATGATTTCCACATAACAGCTTTTGAAGTTGGAGCCTTAATTTTTAAATACACTATGTCTTAGCAAATACTTCTAAATCTTATTTATTTAGATTATTGGTGTAATTATTCTTGAAAATATTTAAATATTCTTGAAATATTTACGAATTTTTAATGTGTATAGTGTGCATGCAGCATGTGATTTACAACGTCCACTATAAAAGTGCAGTAACCAGCGAACAGCGTGTAGTGTGCAGCGTGTAGCGTAAGGTTTGTAGTAAATACGATGGTGCGCCGCATGTTGTGTAAAATGTGCAGAGCGAGGCTTGTAGTGTGTAGTATAGAATGTACAGTGTAGCGTGTAGGGTGTAGCGTATAGTGTGCAGTGTGCGGTGTGTACCTGCGGCGGCGTGGTGTGCAGCGCGAGCAGCAGCGCGCCGGGCGCGGCGTCCTCGCGCACGCGCGCCGAGTACGTGTAGCGTGTAGTGTGCAGTGTGCAGTGTGCAGTGTGTACCTGCGGCGGCGTGGTGTGCAGCGCGAGCAGCAGCGCGCCGGGCGCGGCGTCCTCGCGCACGCGCGCCGAGTACGTGTAGCGTGTAGTGTGCAGTGTGCAGTGTGCAGTGTGTACCTGCGGCGGCGTGGTGTGCAGCGCGAGCAGCAGCGCGCCGGGCGCGGCGTCCTCGCGCACGCGCGCCGAGTACGTGTAGCGTGTAGTGTGCAGTGTGCAGTGTGCAGTGTGTACCTGCGGCGGCGTGGTGTGCAGCGCGAGCAGCAGCGCGCCGGGCGCGGCGTCCTCGCGCACGCGCGCCGAGTACGTGTAGCGTGTAGTGTGCAGTGTGCAGTGTGCAGTGTGTACCTGCGGCGGCGTGGTGTGCAGCGCGAGCAGCAGCGCGCCGGGCGCGGCGTCCTCGCGCACGCGCGCCGAGTACGTGTAGCGTGTAGTGTGCAGTGTGCAGTGTGCAGTGTGTACCTGCGGCGGCGTGGTGTGCAGCGCGAGCAGCAGCGCGCCGGGCGCGGCGTCCTCGCGCACGCGCGCCGAGTACGTGTAGCGTGTAGTGTGCAGTGTGCAGTGTGCAGTGTGTACCTGCGGCGGCGTGGTGTGCAGCGCGAGCAGCAGCGCGCCGGGCGCGGCGTCCTCGCGCACGCGCGCCGAGTACGTGTAGCGTGTAGTGTGCAGTGTGCAGTGTGCAGTGTGTACCTGCGGCGGCGTGGTGTGCAGCGCGAGCAGCAGCGCGCCGGGCGCGGCGTCCTCGCGCACGCGCGCCGAGTACGTGTAGCGTGTAGTGTGCAGTGTGCAGTGTGCAGTGTGTACCTGCGGCGGCGTGGTGTGCAGCGCCAGCAGCAGCGCGCCGGGCGCGGCGTCCTCGCGCACGCGCGCCGAGTACGTGTAGCGTGTAGTGTGCAGTGTGCAGTGTGTACCTGCGGCGGCGTGGTGTGCAGCGCGAGCAGCAGCGCGCCGGGCGCGGCGTCCTCGCGCACGCGCGCCGAGTACGTGTAGCGTGTAGTGTGCAGTGTGCAGTGTGCAGTGTGTACCTGCGGCGGCGTGGTGTGCAGCGCGAGCAGCAGCGCGCCGGGCGCGGCGTCCTCGCGCACGCGCGCCGAGTACGTGTAGCGTGTAGTGTGCAGTGTGCAGTGTGCAGTGTGTACCTGCGGCGGCGTGGTGTGCAGCGCGAGCAGCAGCGCGCCGGGCGCGGCGTCCTCGCGCACGCGCGCCGAGTACGTGTAGCGTGTAGTGTGCAGTGTGCAGTGTGCAGTGTGTACCTGCGGCGGCGTGGTGTGCAGCGCGAGCAGCAGCGCGCCGGGCGCGGCGTCCTCGCGCACGCGCGCCGAGTACGTGTAGCGTGTAGTGTGCAGTGTGCAGTGTGCAGTGTGTACCTGCGGCGGCGTGGTGTGCAGCGCCAGCAGCAGCGCGCCGGGCGCGGCGTCCTCGCGCACGCGCGCCGAGTACGTGTAGCGTGTAGTGTGCAGTGTGCAGTGTGCAGTGTGTACCTGCGGCGGCGTGGTGTGCAGCGCCAGCAGCAGCGCGCCGGGCGCGGCGTCCTCGCGCACGCGCGCCGAGTACGTGTAGCGTGTAGTGTGCAGTGTGCAGTGTGCAGTGTGTACCTGCGGCGGCGTGGTGTGCAGCGCGAGCAGCAGCGCGCCGGGCGCGGCGTCCTCGCGCACGCGCGCCGAGTACGTGTAGCGTGTAGTGTGCAGTGTGCAGTGTGCAGTGTGTACCTGCGGCGGCGTGGTGTGCAGCGCGAGCAGCAGCGCGCCGGGCGCGGCGTCCTCGCGCACGCGCGCCGAGTACGTGTAGCGTGTAGTGTGCAGTGTGCAGTGTGCAGTGTGTACCTGCGGCGGCGTGGTGTGCAGCGCCAGCAGCAGCGCGCCGGGCGCGGCGTCCTCGCGCACGCGCGCCGAGTACGTGTAGCGTGTAGTGTGCAGTGTGCAGTGTGTACCTGCGGCGGCGTGGTGTGCAGCGCGAGCAGCAGCGCGCCGGGCGCGGCGTCCTCGCGCACGCGCGCCGAGTACGTGTAGCGTGTAGTGTGCAGTGTGCAGTGTGCAGTGTGTACCTGCGGCGGCGTGGTGTGCAGCGCGAGCAGCAGCGCGCCGGGCGCGGCGTCCTCGCGCACGCGCGCCGAGTACGTGTAGCGTGTAGTGTGCAGTGTGCAGTGTGCAGTGTGTACCTGCGGCGGCGTGGTGTGCAGCGCGAGCAGCAGCGCGCCGGGCGCGGCGTCCTCGCGCACGCGCGCCGAGTACGTGTAGCGTGTAGTGTGCAGTGTGCAGTGTGCAGTGTGTACCTGCGGCGGCGTGGTGTGCAGCGCCAGCAGCAGCGCGCCGGGCGCGGCGTCCTCGCGCACGCGCGCCGAGTACGCGCGCCGCAGGAAGCGCACTCGCCGCGGCGCCGCCCGCGACAGCTCCAGCGCCGCGAGCGCGTAGCGGTCTGCGTTGTCCACCTGCGTCGCCTACAATACACAACCTATTTTATTTATATGACGAAATTTTTTATTTTCATATAATATTTGTGTACGGGCCACGATATCCAACTCGTACAACTTCTTTGATAGTTAAATTAGTTAAAGCTATGTAATTAAAAGATAGTTTAAGATGATAGTACGTAAGTATGAGTAGCGAATAAAATTAACACACATATTGTTTACTTTATCACTTTATTACTCGCTCTAAGTTTAATTTGAAAATAGGGGCATAAAATTAATTCGCGATGCGGCTTTCTGAATCGCGTCAGCAAAGTAAAATGCATGGTTTTAAAGAGCACAATTTGAGTGACAATCAAACTCAATCCACCTGACGATAAGTGGTTATTGCAGCCAATAGACATCTGTAACCAACTTCAAACAAAAATGCTACAGTTTGTCACCTATGAGGACCAAGATAGAATGCCTCTTTTGGTTCTGTATACCCTTTACGACGGAACACAGACAATGAACGTACTGCCGTTTGGCGATAGAAATAGATAGGAGATTGGTAGATCCTGAATTAAAGCTCCGATCTGTTTACGATTCACTTTGACATCACTATCAACATCCCATTTGCAGATTAATTGTAAGTTTGACATTTTTCCTCTCTCTCTCCGATCACACTCTCAATCTCATGACTGTTAGACGGGAGATGAAGCTACATTCTTCAACAGATTTGACAGCATACAGGCAACTGAACAGACAGATCTCCAAATGCATGCGGCGGGTCTTACGCAACTTCAATACAGCTTGTATTGAAGAAGCAATCGAACGGAACCAAGGCTCCAAAGTCTTTGCCAGAGATCTGTATACCAGAAAGAGCCAACTGTCTAAGCTGAAGACCGAATGTGACAGCATCGTTTCCGGGGCACCTGATATTTTGAGTGAGATTGACAGATTCTATGAGCAGCTGTACACGTCATCGTTGGAGCCACACGCAAGTGTGAGTAACGATCCAAGAGCGAGTCTTATCCGACACTATTCCGAAGATATCCCGGACGTCAGTCTGAGCGAGATTAGAATGACTCTCCAGCACCTTAAAAACGGCAAGGCCCCAGGCGAAGATGAAATTACAGCGGAGCTTCTGAAAGCGGGTGGAAGACCGGTACTTGAAGTCCTTCAGAAGCTCTTTAATTCCGTCCTCCATGGTGGCGTTACACCGGAGGCGTGGAGCAGAAGTGTGGTTGTCTTGTTCTTCAAGAAAGGTGACAACGCTCTCTTGAAAAACTACAGACCGACTTCCCTTCTGAGCCGCGTCTACGTGCTGTTTTCGAGAGTCATTACGAATCGTCTCGCGCGAAGACTTGACGACTTCCAGCCTCCCGAACAAGCCGGTTTCCGAAAGGGCTTTAGCAAAATAGACCACATACATACCCTTCGGCAAATTGTACAGAAGTCCAAGGAGTGCAATTTGCCACTATGTCTGGCGTATGTGGACTATGAGAAAGCCTTTGATTCCGTCGAAATTTGGGCGGTGCTGCAGTCCCTTCAGCGGTGCCAAGTTGATTATCGGTATATCGAAGTGCTGAAGTGTTTGTTCAGTAGAGCTACGATGGCTATCCGAGTACAAAACCAGAGTACGAAACCTATCCAATTGCAGAGAGGTGTAATACAGGGTGAGTTTATATCCCCGAAACTCTTCACCGCTGCATTGGAAGACGTTTTCAAGCTTCTGGACAGGAAAGGATACTGTATTAACATCAATGGCGAGTACATCACTCACCGTCGATTTGCCGACGATATAGTCCTTATGACAGAATCGCTGGAGGACCTAAGCACTATGCTCAATGACCTCAATAGTGTCTCCCAACGAATAGGTCTTAGGATGAACATGGACAAAACAAAGATCATGTTTAATGTCCATGTCACACCTATGCCGGTAGTTGTTGGGAGCACTAAGCTCAAAGTTGTTGACGAGTGTGTTTACCTGGGACAAATAGTCCGACTAGGTAAGTCCAACTTCGACCGAGAGGTCAATCGACGGATTCAACTCGGCTGGGCAGCGTTCGGGAAACTACGACACATCTTCTCGTCAGACATTTCTCAAAACCTTAAAACGAAATTGTACAACCAGTGCGTGTTGCCAGTGATGACTTACGGATCTAAGACGTGGTCCTTCACTGCTGGCCGTATGAGGAAGCTCAAGGTCGCTCAGCGAGCTATGGAGAGGGCTATGCTCGGAGTTTCTCTGCGTGATAATTTTAGAAATGAGTATATTCGCAGTAGAACCAGAGTAACCGACATAGCCCAACGGATTAGTAAGCTGAAGTGGCAGTGGGCCGGCCATATAGCTCGAAGAACCGACAACCGATGGGGAAGAAAGGTTCTTAAGTGGCAGCCTCGTACCGGTAGGCGAAGTGTAGGGTGATGGAGTAGCGACCTGGTAAAACATGCAGGAAGTCGATGGATGCAGGTGGCTCAGGACCGTGCTTTGTGGCATTCCTTGGGGGAGGCCTATGTTCAGCAGTGGACTTATGAAAGGCTGTAATGATGATGATGATGATGATTGACATTTTTTTTCATCGGCATAATCCACTTTAGTGAAAAGTTAAGCATTATGCAATAAATTTATTAATGATGATGACTCCTGGAAATAAGGTAATCGCCAACCTAGACGGATTCTTAAGCAGAAAGAATATAGGTACTGCTAATGGCAAAAAAATAACACTACACCACTACAGAAGTAAGAGCGTAATAGTAACTTAAAGGGACTCTTATATAACAAAAACACTTCCACCCAGAATAAACGATTTTTTTCTACATTTATAAATTAGCAATCAAACAGACAACATGAAGATTTATACAATATTTTATTATTATTATATACCATAATTTATAATCTGAAATGTAGATGAAGCATTCTTTAAACCGAAAGGCATAAGTTGAAATTATTTTATTACTTTAGCCCTAATATCTTAAAAGTCCTTTTCAAGGTCAGACAGTATCATTAGAGTCATCAAAAGTGAAAGCCAGCCAGCCTCTTGGTATCCAATGTAGAATGCATTTCGGAGAGTGTGCACAGGAATGACATGCTTTAATTTCTCCCTCTCTTTTTCAATATCGGACAAACAGGCGGTCGGCAGGATCACCCCTTTGTTGTCAATATTTTACGCAATAGGACCAAACGAATTGCTTAGTCTTTCGTAATGAATACAGCAAAGGAGTGAAATAATTTGTCGGCGTCTGTCTTTCCATCCAAGTCAATCTGGGCGTCTTTAATGTAGAGTGAATAGGCTTTTCTTATGCTAAGGTAGTGCAACTTACTATATAGGGCTTCATCAACACATCATTGGTGGGATTGTATTCAAGCACTGGCTTATAATAAGTAAAACAATCACTATTTATTCAGCTTTAAAAGTAAGTGGTGCTGCGCAGTAGTGAGTAAACTGATGTGATGTAGGAAAGGCATCAATGAGAAGCGTTTTGATCTGTCGAGAACGTTAATTAGACTATTTTAATAATTACCTTAAATTATTTAATAATAATTAATTTAAATAAAATACCAGTCGGATCGAGTGAGTGAGAGGTTGCGTCACCTTAGCGGAGCGTCATATTAATGGTAGTGAGGTGGAATTGAGGGTATATCGAGAAACCCGCACTTGTCTGTGCAGTATAAAGTTTACTGAAGGCGCCGTGCGCGAATGATTCCGCTTAAGTCAGAGTCAGAGTCAGAGTGATAAGATAGTGTCGTATTTCTGTTCGTTGTAGTAATTCTTCTGATGCAGGCAAGGAACATGCTTTTGCTGAAAAGCTGCTCTGTGTTACATTGAGATTGGTAGTCTTGTTGTTGGTTTGTATACTTTGGTGTTATCGTGTAATTATGTCCTTCACGTTACACCAGTGTGTAATTGTGACGGAGTCATATTACGGTATGGTCAAACTATAATTGTTCTATGCTAAATGTATAGTGCGTTACGCTGTTTTATTACTGATAATGATTAATTGCGTCAGCAAGAGAGCAATTTGAACATCCGTTCTCACACTTTTACCATTTTTAACAATTAACGCTATCCTGATGGAGATCAGACATGGAATCTTCTCCTGAATTTCTGAGATATATATTCAAAATATAACAAAAACCCTTTGTTTCCGTAAAGAAGTCATCAGAATTAGTATTCTAATTTATAGACATAACTTTATTTTAGAGTAGTTGATTGCAAAAACTTAATTTAAATAAATTTTCATTATCTTAGTGGGAGTTTACATCAAGAAAGCAGTATGCCAAAATTCAAATCAATCGTGCGCATAGTTTTGGAGGTCTCGTGATGACACTGACCTTGATGACGATGGTGGCGGGCAGGTCGGCTAGGTGCAGCGCGGCGGCGGCGGCCACGCGGCCCGACTCGCGCTCCACGCGCACCAGCGCCGCGCCGCCCGCCTCGCTCGCCACCGAGTAGTACAGCGGGGCGTTGATGCCCACGTCCTGGTCCGCGGCCGCTATTGGACCCGGCGATGTCTTCAGTATTGTACCCTGCTCACCCATATCACGCAATTGTTCGATTTATGAATAAAATTGGGCGTTATAATAATCAGCAAACAACTTGAACACTTATGATGTTTACTGCACAGACAATAGAAATCAGGCGTTACTTTGCGGAAATCTATTATATTAAAGATGGATAGAGATTTTAACCAAAAGGAATACTAAAGCTGCGTTTATATATTCTAATAGAGGCATAACAAAGGCGTTTAGAAGAGAAACGCAGATCGTATTATCGAAGGCAGTTTTACCCTGTGTACGTAGGTCACTCAATAAGTTTGGAGATATACAAAAAGTATTCAAGATACTATTAATATTTATTTTACATCTTTTCAAAATATTCTCCATTATGCTCTATACAAAGATCCATTCGCCTAAACCAACTCTGAAAACACTTTCGCCAGTCTTGATCTGACAGGTAGGACTTAAGATTTGTAAAGGATATGACTTGGAAAGATTTTTCTTTTATAGGAGAGGGAGCAAACGAGCATGCGGCTCACCTGATGGTAAGTGACTACCGCCGCCCATGAACAACTGCAACACCAGGGGAATCGCAGATGCGTTGCCGGCCTTTTAAAAAGGAGTACGCTCTTTTCTTGAAGGTCCCTAAGTCGTATCGGTCCGGAAAAATCGCTGATGGTAATCGATTCCACAAGGAGGTCGTGCGAGGAAGAAAACATCTTCTAAATCGCACAGTGGTGGACCGCCAATCATCCAGATGGTGTGGATGGTATCGGGAGTTCTGCCGCGATGTGCGTTCGTGAAATTTGGCGGCTGGGATTAATCCGAACAATTCCTAAGAGCACTCCCCATGGTAGATGCGAAAGAAAATGCAAAGGGATGCGACATCTCTTCGCAGTGCCAATGAATCGAGCCGATCGGAAAGGGCTCGGTCGTCGACGATTCGAGCAGCTCTGCATTGGATGCGGTCAAGTGGAAGGAGCTGGCACTGGGGAGCCCCTGCCCAGAGATGGGAACAGTATTCCATGTGAGGCCGAACTTGCGCCTTGTAAAGTTGCAGGCGGTGTGCCGGCATGAAATACTGTCCCGCCCTGCTGAGCTCGCCAAGCTTTTTAGAGGCCAATTTGGCCTTCCCTTCCAAGTGACCACGAAACTGCATGTCACTCGATATGTCGACTCCGAGGATACCGATACTGGCTGAGGCAAGAAGGGGAGTGCCTTGAAACTGAGGAGATACGACAAAGGGGTTCGTTTTAGCGGTAAACGCGCAAACTTGTGTCTTCTGAGGATTAAACTGGACTAGATTTAGTCGCCCCCAATCTGAGACTTTGCTCAGCAAAGACTCGACTTCAGACACAAGTTTGTTCCGGTACTCAGCGACGTTTTCCCGAGAAATATTGGCACGGCCGGTGTATAGAGCATCACCAGTGCTGTCATCCGCATAGCAATGAATGTTACCAGTTAGCAACATATCATTGATATGCAGAAGAAACAGCGTTGGTGATAGCACACAGCCTTGTGGAACACCAGCGTTAATAGGCTTGTAGTCAGAGCATGCACCGTCTACAACGACCTTGATGCTCCGATCTGCAAGGAAGCTGGTGATCCAATTGCACAATTTCTCGGGAAGCCCATAGGAAGGGAGCTTCGAAAGAAGCGCTTTGTGCCAAACCCGATCGAAGGCCTTCGCAATGTCCAGACTAACGGCTAACGCGTCCCCCTTGGACTCTACTGCCTCCGCCCATCTATGGGTCAGGTAGACCAGAAGATCACCAGCTGATCGACCCCGACGAAAACCGTATTGGCGGTCACTAATCAGCTGGTGATCCTCAAGGTACCGGATGAGCTGGCAGTTAATAATGGATTCCATTATTTTGGAGAACAAGGAGGTGATCGCGATAGGCCTATAGTTGGATGGGTCTGAGCGGTCGCCTTTTTTAGGGATCGGGTGGACAAAAGCTGTCTTCCATGAATTCGGGACTACGCCTTGGGAGTAGGAGTACCGGAAAAGACGCGTTAGGACCGGTGCCAACTCCGGAGCACACGTCCTCAGCACAATTGGGGGGATTCCGTCAGGCCCACTCGACTTCTGGATGTCCAGGGAGAGCAGTGCTTTGCGAACCGAGCGCTGTAAGAACAGCACATCCGGCATGGAGCACTCACACCGCGGGATGGTCGGCGGTGTTTTCCCCCCGTCATCAAGAGTCGAGTTGGACGCAAAAAGGGAGCCTAAAAGGTCGGCTTTGTCTTTTGCGTCATGGGCCAGTGAGTCATCCTCCCTGTGCAGAGATGGTAGTGATGGCTTACAGAAATTCCCTTGGACAGCCTTGGCGAGAGACCAGAATGCACGGGTTCCCGAAGGAAGGCGAACTAGTTTCTCGCCAATTCTGCCTATGTGCTCTGACTTTGCCCTGGCAATAACTCTTTTGAAGGACCTGGAGGCGAAGTTATACTTTTTTTTAAGTGTGCTGGTGTTTACATCCCGAGTCGCCGAAGCCACAGCCCAGGCTTGATAACACTCCTGTTTACTGCGTAAAGCAGTATTACAGGAGCGACCAAACCAAGGCTGAGATCTGCCTCCGATGGGTACCACAGATGATGGAATAAATAGTTCCATTCCCTGTAGCACCACATCAGTGACAGAGTCAGCAACAGCGCTGGGATCGTCCGGCGAGAAGCAAACCCGCCCCCATGGGTAGGATGCAAAGAAAGACCGCATTCCGTCCGAATCCGCCGACCTGTAATGCCAAACACGGCGGCATTACCGCTATGGGACCTATAGAGGCACCCGTAGACGCGCGGGTGGTCGTCGCTGTCTACGCGTAACCAAAGGATGGACAGGTCCGAACCTTCAAGACTGCCGAGGCGTCGAGAACAGATGTCCTCTCTGACATACACGCAAACTCCAGCCCGAGGCACAAAGGAATGCTCCAATTTGTACCCCGGGTAGGAGAGATACGAAATATCAGCCGGAGAGGAAACCTGCGTCTCGGTCAAAAAGAGCATGGCCGGCTTCGCCGTCTCGAGATGGTAGTGGACGGCGTTTAGGTTAGAGTGAAGTCCCCTGATGTTGCAGAAATTCACGGATAGCGTGGCAGGGGCCGCCTTGGTGTTCTTGCTCAGTTTGCCCCTGGCAGTTATGCTTTTGAGCGGAATTTTGCCCCCCCAGAATACGCGGGGCAGCCTGAGCACCCACGCTCAGGATCGGAATAACATGGTCGTGGATGCTCAGCGAGGGATTCTCCAGGGGTACTGGTACCCTCCTGGGGGAGTCTATCTTGTAATTCCGCTACCATGTTGATGGGGGGGGGGGGAATTGGGCCTCCGGCCGCCACCTGCACTCACCAGACGAAACGCAGAAGCAGAGCTTCTACTTCACGCCGGTATTCTGTAAGGTCGTGGTACCAACCCGGCTCGAGCCGGCCCATACATGCAACAGCAAAAACTGTTGCGTGGCTCTACTACCGTTAAAAATGTAATATGACAAATAAATTTGTTTGACGACACATAAAGCATTTCTCAGGTGGTAGAGCAACTGTTTTATGCTTGCAGCAAGAAACCGTCGGCTCAATCGGGGAAGGACCATATAGAACAGAACAGTAGCATGAGTCGATAGTATAGTGCTTTTGTATTTCATAGAAGGAGTGACGTAAACCGACGACTCTTTTTTACTGGCAAGTATAATATAATAGATTTACGCAATGTAACGCCTGATTCTATTAACCCTTACTATCAAGAAGCTATATATTCACTTACTGACCTCTTGGACGTCGTCTGGTACAAGTGCGGTGTAGTGGTCGTGCGTGAACTTGGGGTTCTGGTCGTCTGCGTCGAGTACACGTACAGTCAGCTGCGTGTCGCTGTACCGCGGTGGCGTGCCTGCATCTTGCGCGCGCAGCGTTAGTGTGAAGTTGCGCACTTTCTCATAGTCCAGTGGCTTCTTCACCACTAATGTACTGTCCAGTTCGTTCGCGAACCCGATGAACTCCTGCCGAATATACGAAATATACTAAATCGATAAAATGGTTCACATTAATATGTAACTGAAATAACTGAATCAATATTGAAATCATACTGAATCCAAGCGCAAACGCTGGTAGAATTACCAAGGCAAGATGTCTATGCGTTCTTTTATTATAGTGTAATTCAATAGTAGTGCACGGTGGCGTGCGGGCCGGCTCAGCAACAGTGTGTGGTACGTACGCTGTGCGGGCCGGGCAGCACTACGTAGTGCACGGTGGCGTGCGGGCCGGCTCAGCAACAGTGTGCGGTACGTACGCTGTGCGGGCCGGGCAGCACTACGTAGTGCACGGTGGCGTGCGGGCCGGCTCAGCAACAGTGTGCGGTACGTACGCTGTGCGGGCCGGGCAGCACTACGTAGTGCACGGTGGCGTGCGGGCCGGCTCAGCAACAGTGTGCGGTACGTACGCTGTGCGGGCCGGGCAGCACTACGTAGTGCACGGTGGCGTGCGGGCCGGCTCAGCAACAGTGTGCGGTACGTACGCTGTGCGGGCCGGGCAGCACTACGTAGTGCACGGTGGCGTGCGGGCCGGCTCAGCAACAGTGTGCGGTACGTACGCTGTGCGGGCCGGGCAGCACTACGTAGTGCACGGTGGCGTGCGGGCCGGCTCAGCAACAGTGTGCGGTACGTACGCTGTGCGGGCCGGGCAGCACTACGTAGTGCACGGTGGCGTGCGGGCCGGCTCAGCAACAGTGTGCGGTACGTACGCTGTGCGGGCCGGGCAGCACTACGTAGTGCACGGTGGCGTGCGGGCCGGCTCAGCAACAGTGTGCGGTACGTACGCTGTGCGGGCCGGGCAGCACTACGTAGTGCACGGTGGCGTGCGGGCCGGCTCAGCAACAGTGTGCGGTACGTACGCTGTGCGGGCCGGGCAGCACTACGTAGTGCACGGTGGCGTGCGGGCCGGCTCAGCAACAGTGTGCGGTACGTACGCTGTGCGGGCCGGGCAGCACTACGTAGTGCACGGTGGCGTGCGGGCCGGCTCAGCAACAGTGTGCGGTACGTACGCTGTGCGGGCCGGGCAGCACTACGTAGTGCACGGTGGCGTGCGGGCCGGCTCAGCAACAGTGTGCGGTACGTACGCTGTGCGGGCCGGGCAGCACTACGTAGTGCACGGTGGCGTGCGGGCCGGCTCAGCAACAGTGTGCGGTACGTACGCTGTGCGGGCCGGGCAGCACTACGTAGTGCACGGTGGCGTGCGGGCCGGCTCAGCAACAGTGTGCGGTACGTACGCTGTGCGGGCCGGGCAGCACTACGTAGTGCACGGTGGCGTGCGGACCGGCTCAGCAACAGTGTGCGGTACGTACGCTGTGCGGGCCGGGCAGCACTACGTAGTGCACGGTGGCGTGCGGGCCGGCTCAGCAACAGTGTGCGGTACGTACGCTGTGCGGGCCGGGCAGCACTACGTAGTGCACGGTGGCGTGCGGGCCGGCTCAGCAACAGTGTGCGGTACGTACGCTGTGCGGGCCGGGCAGCACTACGTAGTGCACGGTGGCGTGCGGGCCGGCTCAGCAACAGTGTGCGGTACGTACGCTGTGCGGGCCGGGCAGCACTACGTAGTGCACGGTGGCGTGCGGGCCGGCTCAGCAACAGTGTGCGGTACGTACGCTGTGCGGGCCGGGCAGCACTACGTAGTGCACGGTGGCGTGCGGGCCGGCTCAGCAACAGTGTGCGGTACGTACGCTGTGCGGGCCGGGCAGCACTACGTAGTGCACGGTGGCGTGCGGACCGGCTCAGCAACAGTGTGCGGTACGTACGCTGTGCGGGCCGGGCAGCACTACGTAGTGCACGGTGGCGTGCGGGCCGGCTCAGCAACAGTGTGCGGTACGTACGCTGTGCGGGCCGGGCAGCACTACGTAGTGCACGGTGGCGTGCGGGCCGGGCTGATCCGCGTCGCGCGCCGGCGCCGCCAGCACGCGGCTGCCGACGCTCGCCAGCTCCGACACGCGCGCCTCGTACGGCGCCCCGATCCACTCCGGCGCGTTGTCGTTTACATCCCACACGCGTACCGACACCGGGATTATGAAGCTCTGCAGGCAAACAACATTTACAAAAAACAGGCCAAAATTTAAAAAAAAAACAAGAAATCTCCCAAACCAAAGCCGTCATATGCTTGTCATGCCCAGAAATGGAGGGTGGCAAGGAGTAAAATAAATAAAAAATCAAGAAAATGTACACGAGAAAGAGCCTCGCTCAAGTAGTAGTAGATTCAGCCCGTATAAACAAGGTGTGCCCGGAATGAAATATAGTGTAGTAACCAAAGGTACTCAACCGTGGTTAAGTCATGATGCATATTAGAGATAGGTGGCGCTATTTAAGCAGTAAACATAGGCTCCGTATAATTTTTGTTTTAAAAATATTATAAACAATCTCTACTGAACTTTTTTATAACTTAAGTACAGATTCTAACATAATTTAGTGTGTCGAGTGTTATATTGCTGTTTCGAGCTAGATTATAAGTGTGAAGTTAATATAAGTAATCAAGTGAATCTGTGAACTATAAATTATTATTGTATTGAATTTATTGTAATAAGACAGTGTCTTCTAAAGTGAAACGCTAAGGAAGGGGATTAGCAAACTAAGTTACATTGCTATCAACAATTTATTATTGTTTTAAAGTGAAAAAACATTTATTTAGTATTAAAGTGACGGTTACGGTAGTTTAAAATGTCAAAACTTATGTACATCTGATTAGATAAGCGACATCTATGATAATTGATAAATAATTACCAAAGGAGAGTAACTATTTTCTATTATTACGCCATCTATTAGTTACTGGCAAAATAAGCAACAAATTTATGTTAATAGATCAACTTGATTAAGTCTCCAATTATCCTTTAGAGGGCGCGCGTATTCATATGATTTGAAAATATTTTTAATTTTTGAAAAAGTCCCTGTTCTGATTTTTTAAATCAGAAGACTACAATAAAATAACACTTCAAAATATTAGAATAAAATATCATTAATTCTTCTAAATTCAAAATGTCACTAGTATGTTTTAATGTAGTAAAAAAATATTGAATAAGGAGAGCTTAACTTGTTCACTATGTAAAGAAAAATTTCACTTAACTTGCACGATAGTTTCTGAAAAAAGATTTCGTTGGATGTCAATAGACACCAAAAATGCCTGGAAGTGCACAACTTGCATACAGTTAAAGAATAAGAAAAAAAATAGAAATACGTCATCAGAAAAATCTCCTAATTTGGACAGCAGTAAATCTAGCTGTCACGAAATGGCAATTGAAAATATAACATTGCGAAAAAAACTCAATCAATCTATAAGTGATAGCAGCTCGCAATTAATTTCCCAAATTGATGACTTAGGTGAAACGTTGATTTCTATAGACACCGCTTTAAATCGTAGCTGCCCCGAAAATAACTGTTTAGCTATGGATGATTTCGAGGAAATGAAATTAAAATTGCAAAATTTGGAAACTAAGCTCGAAAGTGCTGACCTAGAAGTGGAAAGATTGTTATCAGAAAATCATTCATTAAGAGAAGAAATATCAAAAAGAGATGCCAAAATAAACCAATTATCTCGTATCTGTCGCTCAACCTCAAAAAAGAATGTCCTAAGTCCCTCCCAGAACAATACTTGTGAAAATAATACAAAAAAGTATACGACTAATATATTATTAAGTACTCCCAAAGTAAGTGCCCCATCTACGATAACAAATATACCATTACGTCCCAATCCCAGGGAAGTACATGAAAGCATGCGGCAAAAGAATGTTAGAAATATGAATAAGTCGCCAATATGCAACATAACACGCCAGCAAGAGAACAAATCAAATAACTCTAAAATAACTCTGCAGAACAAGAAGAAGACATGTATGCTTAGTACTAACAAGTTTACTAAAACAAGATCCACTGCGCAACGATTTTTGCATGGAAATTTAGATATCTGCCATTATCTTCTAACAGGATACGGAATAGAACCTCTATTGATGGGCTTAAAGACCAAACTTATTGATTATACAATGGAAGACTACTGTATATTACTAATAGGTGATCAAGATTTCAAATCCACTACAAATTACTTTGAATTAATAACATACATTCGACAAACATTATCAGAAATTACACATACAAACATCATCTTGTGTCTACCTACCTTTAAATACTGTAAATTCGGAAATTTATTTAACTGGCGAGTAGAAGTTGTAGTGTGTGCTTATATATATATGTAGGATAGAATAAGAGAGAGTTAGTATTAAACCTACCGTCTAGACTATTGGACGTTTTATTTATTCCCCGAACCACCCAACACTACATGGCGACCCTGCCAGTTCATCGGCGGTCTGCCTGGGTTCGGTCGCGGGCCGCGTTTTAAAAAAAAAAAATGTGTCGTTCTGAAGTCAAGAAAGACCAAGTATTTATTACGCAAGACACTTCAGGAGGCTCAAATTCTGCACATGTAGAAGAAATTAAAAGCCACCTGTCTGGGATATCCGTCGTGCTGATTATAATATGCACAGTTTTGGGCTTGGCTCTTCTCTATGGTGTATACAAAATATACAAAAGTTGCCATACAAGCTGGATGCGGAATGAGATGGTAATGCACAATTTGCGTCGTTCTTTTGTGCGATCACCGGACCCAGGACCTCGTGTACCCCGTGTATGCTGTGAGTGCCGCCATGAGGACCGCCGGGAGACAACGAAAGCGTCAAGTTGAAAAAATGAGGTTTAAATTGAAAAATATGTTATAGTTTAAGTTTAAAAAAAAAGAAAAAAAATAATAAAAATAGCCTTATATGTATGCCTTAAACCTTAAAATATTTTGACAACGATATTTCTTTTTAACTGTACTTCCATGTCTAGTGAATTAATAATAATATATAAAAAATTTAAAAATATTAAAAATAATTTAGTTAAATTAAGTTATGATAAGCGAACTAAAAGCATTTTGCAACAAAAACTTAAGGAATCAGTACAATTACGTAAAGAATTTGATGATTGTTTGATAATTTTAAATAAAGAGATAGAAAGTAAACAAATTAAAAGTAATGCATTAATTGAAATACAATCATATTGCGATTTAATTAAGAGTTTATATGGACAAATAGAAAACTTTTGTAGTAAGGATTACAGCTCTCAATCAACTTCCAAGGGCACTATTCAAAGCGAAATATTCACCATGGAAAGTTTCGACTTTAAAACTGCTGTGTCACTCCTGCCAGTGATGACGGGCGAGGAATCGGTCACCAAAACCTTGATGGACTCGATAGAGTTATATAGCTCTTCGCTTAAAGAAGAAGGTAAGTCTATGTTAATAAAATTTGTGTTAAAGACTCGTTTGAATGAAGGTGCTAAGTTACGCCTATTAGATTCCTATGACTCATGCGAGGCGCTTATAAGTGATATGCGGAACCACCTTTTAACAAAGAAATCTTACACTTCCATTCATAACGAACTAATGCAAATAAGACAAAATAGTAGTTCCCTAGATAATTATGGCAATAAAATCGAACAATTATTCGTAGATTTGACGATTTCCCAAGCCGATGGTGACCAAAACGCGCATAAAATTTTACGTCCTATAAATGAAAAGATCGCTATTAAAAGTTTCACAAATGGCTTGCGAAACCGACAACTCAGTATTATTTTGTCAGCACGCAATTATAGTACGTTAAAAGAAACAATTAGAGCTGCAAAGGATGAGGAGACATCTAGTGTTCGACCTAGCGAGTACACCGAACCATCGATTTATTTCGGAAATCGAGGTGGTTCAGGAACGCGTAAAAATTTTCGTGGTAGGTATACATCCAATAATGTACCACGACAAACATATCCTTGGCATACCCAAGCAAAAAATAATGTGAATTGGAGGAAACCGGTACCCCAAAAGTTTTCGTGTGGAAATCAACAACACCGCGGGAAAAAAGGTAATTATGGTGAGTACTCATACCAGAATCGCGGATCTTTTCGTGGTCAAAATGCCCAGCGAGTTCATTTTATAACACCAGAATATCGCGTATCGCAAAGTTCTCAAAATATTGAAATTAACCCTAATAACGATAATAGTGAAAATAACCCAGAATTTTTTCGAGACCAATAATATATTTAGTTGCGAATATAGTAATTGTGTTGAGTTAGCAATAGATGGTATCAAATGTAGATGGCTCGTAGATACCGGCGCTTCTTTATGTGTGATTGAATATGACACGCTTAGTAAACTAAACATTTCATTACAAAAGAAACCGATTACAATAAACGGAATTGGAGGCAAATTACAAACCGTGGGATTTGTTGATTTAACATTGTCTGTTGACGGGCTGAAATTTAATAATAAGTTTCATGTTATAAAGCAGTTGCCGTGTGAAACTTCTGGAATTTTAGGTATAGATTTTTTACGTAAATTTAATTGTAACATAAATTTTGAATTGAATACTATTACACTGCATAATATGAATGAATTAGTAACTTTGCCATTGCATATGGGTATTTTGGGAAATAATAATTATTTGAGTATACCTCCAAGATGCGAGAATTTATTTTATATCAATGCGAGTATGATAGAAGATTGTGTTGTCTTTCCGAAAGAGTTATGCGAGGGAGTATTTCTGTCTGGTGGAATTGTCAAAGCGAATAACGGGAAGATACCAATAAAAATATTAAATACACGAGAGGATCCGGTCAATCTTAGTTATTTTAGACCTGAAACCGATAGTTTACATAATTATTCTATTTGTAAGTTTGATAAAAGTCTCATTGATCCCGAACGCGTTCATAAAATGTTAAATTTATTAAATTTGGATCATTTAAATAAAGAGGAAAAATCTTCTATTATACATATTTGTGCAAAATTTTCCGACATATTTTTATTGCCAGGAGATCAATTAACAACTTGTAACTTATATGAACATAATATTCAGTTAAAACCTAATATTGACCCAGTGTATGTAAAACAGTATCGATTACCCTATTCTCAGAGGAACGAAATAGAAACACAAGTCAAAAATATGTTACAAGACGGAATTATTGAACCAGCTTGCAGTGAGTGGTCAAGTTTAATTTTCGAAAATCGATA